CTGAGATGTTGATTTTCTAATGAAGAGGTTGGCAAATACATACATACATATGCCTTGCAGGCCATGTAGTCAAATAGATATTAGCCTCTGAGATTCCTTTCAATTCTCAGATTCTTTTATTCAATGATAGTCTGTATCATATAGTGTTTGTCCAAGACAACGACCCATAAGAGAAACTATTCAGGCTTTTATAACTATTTCTAACCCCACAATGAGCCTTGTGTATTTGTATGTGTATTTATGTATGTGTACATACAGTACAGCAGCACTCTTTGTATTACCAAAAATAGAAACACTGTTTATCCATCTATTGCAAAATGTAATAGAATTTTGGAGGCAGCTAGATGGCTGAGAACACTGGATAGAGATGGATAGAGCACTGGACCTAGAGTCAGGAAGACCTGAGTTCAAACCCAACCTTGGACATTTAATAGCTGTGTGATCCTGGGCAAGTCACTTAACTTCTATCCACTGGAGAAGGAAATGGCAAACCACTTCGGTATTTTTGCCAAGAAAACCCCATGAACAGTGTGGTCCACAAGGTCATGCAGAATCAGACATGACTCAACAACCACAAGATGGAATATTATTGCACTGTTAGATGTGACAAACATGAAGAATTAGAAAACACTTGTGAAGATTTACATGAACTTAAACTAAATAAAAGTAAGCAGAACCAAGAGGACAATTTATATGATAAATACAAAATATACAGGAAAACCACACTGAAAAATATCAAAACCTGATCAATAACTGATGGATCGGGACTTCTGAGAACTACCAATGGAGCATGTCTCTTTCCTTTTTGCAAAGAGACAGTGTAGATAGGTGCAGAAGGAGACATACTATTTCAGACATGGCCAGTGTGTTGTTTCACTTTCCTGTCCTTTGTCGCGAAGGCCCAGAAGATTATACTGAGGGGCTGAAGAAATTATCAAGTGGTAATGATATAAACAGAAACAACAAAACATTCACCTAAAAAATCAAAACTGATTTAGTTGAAGGAATCACAGATATTCAGAAGACTCTTGGAGCGTGGGTCCCAGTTTCTATCTACTTGTCTTCTGCAAAGGAATTTGTCCTGTTCTGGTTAAGCCCAAAGAGCAGAAACAGAAACAGTGGATAAAAGTTCCACAGAGGTAGAGTTCAATGTAAGGAAAAACTCCCCAGCACTTAGAACTAACCCATAGTGTAACATGCTACTTCAAGAAGTAATGAGTTTCTAAGCCCAAAAAGCTATAAAACTGTGCATACCCTTTGACCCAGCGATGTCACCTCTGAGTCTGTATCCCAAAGAGATCATAAAAATGGGAAAAGGAAAAAAAAATAAAAAATTAAAATTAAAAAAATGGGAAAAGGACCCACATGTACAAAAATATTTGTAGCAGCTCTTTTTGTGGTGGCAAAGATTGGAAATGGAGGGGATGCCCATCAATTGGGGAATGCCTGAACAAGTTGTGGTATATGAATGTAATAGAA